ATTTTATTTATTTATTTATTTGAGAGAGAGAGAGAGAAACAGCATGAGAGGGGATAGGGTCAGAGGGAGAAGCAGGCTCCCCGCCGAGCCGGGAGCCCGATGCGGGACTCGATCCCAGGACTCTGGGATCATGACCTGAGCCGAAGGCAGTCGCTCAACCAACTGAGCCACCCAGGCGCCCTATAATTAAGAGTTTATGTACCACCTAAAATTTTGTTTCTCCAGTAGTATACAGACACACTATGGGAAAAACTAGTTGTGGAAAGAAGTCTGGTCTTAGTCTAATAGTCTGGATTCCAATCCTGATTCTGCTGTTTAGTTTCTGTTACTGTAAACAAAGTACTTCATTTTTCTGAGCCTTACATTCATCTGCTCAATGGGAGTGATACTGATACTTCCCTCATGGGTTTGTTTTACCCAAGATATAACTGAAACACAGTACATGTCCATCATGTGTGAGTTTCCTTAGTCCAAGGGGGGGGTTGAGAGACAACACGAGCTTTTAAATATCAGAACAAAAAATTGGTAAGTTGTAAATCTTTAAGATTTGTGGCCCTTAAAAAAGAAAAACATGTTGAGTTCCTTCCTCACCTCCAAGACAGTGAGAGTGAGATATCAAGTAAAATGTATTCAGTGTTGGATCTGCTGATGATAGATCTTTATTCTGCACCTGTGAGCTGAAGCAAAGACATAGAGAACTCAGTACTGGAAATGGAAGTGTCTGAAGACTGTCATTGACTCTAGAACAGCAGAGAGGGAATTTTAAGGATTTTTAGAACTTGAAATTAGGTTGAAAGAGAGCTCCCAACAAAAACCAGTATGCATCTGGCTCTAATATAAACTGTGTATGTTTCCCACTCCAAATTCATAGCAGCCTTGTAAAACAGACTATGCTGTCTCCATTTCACAGATGAAGATGTTAAGGCTCCAGCAAAGCTGGGAATGGAACCTTGGTTTTTTAATTACTGTGTACATAGAAAAGAGGCTGGGTAGAGGGAAGTATTAGTTATTGAATACCTACTTTATGTGCCAGGCCCTATGCTTGGTGCTTTAGCTATGTTATTTTATATGTGATCCTCAGAATACCCCATAAGATAGGTTCCAGTAGCCCCATTTATTCTTCAAGAAACTGAGGTTCAGAGAGGTGAAGAAACTTGTCTGTAGTTACACAGACCAGGCAAAAACTGGATTTATTAATTTATTTTAAAAAGATTTTTTAGTATTTATTTTTGCGAGAGATCGTGCACAAGTGGGGGGAGGGGCAGAGGGAGAAGCAGGCTTCCCGCTGAGCAGGGAGCCTGATGCGAGACTTGGTCCCAGGACCCTGGGATCATGACCTGAACCGAAGACAGACGCTTAACAGACTGAACCACCGAGGCGCCCCAAAAACTGGATTTAGACCCAAGCTCGTCTAATTCTGAAATGTGTAATCTTCTAAGGATACCAAGGATGATGTCTGCTTTAAGGAAAATGAACTTCCTGTTAGCCTTTCAGTTACCACAGGAACTGAGCGTTATGCTTGGAACTCTCAACCCTGCCCCAAGAACTTTCTAGATTCTTCATGTTAATTTTTCTGGAAGCAGGTATATTATTTATATATGTATATATACACATATATATGTGTGTATGTGTGTGTATATATATATATATATATATGTATATATAGCAAAGCTTACTCTCATGATGCTGTTAGCTTATCTTCTGTTGTTAACATTGCCTCCTCCAAGCTAGCCTCTACAGAGGCCATCACAAAGATTTTTCGAAAATGCCGACCTGACCACATCCATCCCCTGCATTCCATCTTATCCTCAGCTTCCTCTGCTGAAGTCCATACTCTTACCCTAACATTAAAGGCTATCTATGATCTGGCCCCAGTTGGCCTCTCCAACATCCAGCTTCATCTCTTGGTACTCTACACACAGGCACGCACACACACACACAAATGAGTTGAGGGGGAGGGGCAGAGGAAGAGGGAGAGAGAGAATCCCAAGCAGGCTTCACATCCAGTGCAGAACCCTACACAGGGCTCAGTCTCACAACCCTGAGATCATGCCCTGAGCCAAAACCAAGAGTCTGATGCTTAACTGATTGAGCCACCCAGGCACCCCTTTACTGACTGCTTATATAGAGAGAAACGAATCAGATCAAAATTTTGATTAATTAAAAAAAAAATTTGGGCACCTGGGTGGCTCAGATGGTTAAGCGTCTGCCTTCGGCTCAGGTCATGATCCCAGGGTCCTGGGATCGAATCCCACATCAGGCTCCCTGCTCCTTGGGAGCCTGCTTCTCCCTCTGCCTCTCTCTCTCTCTCTCTGTCTCTCATGAATAAATAAATAAAATCTTTAAAAAAAAAAAAATTTGTTCTTCTCATCCTGTAAATTAGACTCAAACTTAGCCTGGAAATAAAAAATACTTTCTTTAAAAATGGAAATATTCTTTCTATCCCTCTCTTTGAATTTACTGAAGCCTTCAGATGCATCATCCTGGTGGGATATTTGTAACTGTGCACAGGACTATTAATAATGCTGTCACCTTTGCTGAGCATATTAAATGCATGCAGGGTGTGCAGTATGTGTCCATTGCCCTGGGGGCCCAGAAGTATCTGTTGCCTATGACGTAGCCTAGAATAATGGAAAGAGTATATACTTCGGGTCCAGAAAGACCTCTGTTTTGATCTTGATTTCACCAATTATTACCTCGTGCTTTTGGCCAAGTAAGTTCTCTTTTTGTGCCTAGATTTCTGTGGGTATGCTTTTGACCGTCTTGACTTATGTTTCCTTCCAGCAATCAGAGAAGATGGCATGCCTGGAGGCCGAAATAAGAGCATTGGGCCCGTCCAGGTGAGTTCTAGGCCTCAGTCTTTTGTGATACATCCTGGAAGCCCAGTGCTTCTGGTGTTCCTGTAGCTACTTACCTTGATCTTCTCATCTCCTGATGGGGGGAGCCATCTTGCTTTCATTCCCATAAAATTGCTTTTAGAGCCTGGTTATGAAAGTGCTTTGAAAATCTTAAATATGTAACATAATGATTAAAGCTCTTCTTGTGATTCCCTTAACCGTTCCCAAGGATTTCACAGGAAGTGAACCCAATTCTGGTTCTAAACCATCCAGAGGACTTTTTATGTCAGTCACTCAAGGTTGTCGATAACTTAACCTGGCAGAAATCATTAAGACTACTTTGCTGTTCAATGTCTCTAAAGATACATCAGCAGAAAGTTCATTGCCTTACTTGTAGATTAGGAATGATAATACCCATTCAATCTCACAAATATTTAAGTACTTATTGTGGGCAGGTCCTTTGTACTGTGAACTCAGTCTAGTGGGAGAGACAGATGTGTAAACAGACATCAGAGTATAGTGAGTGGTAACAGGGGATGCCCAGGGAGTACAGAAAGGAAGGACTTCTTCTTTTTTTTTTTTTTAATTGGAGCCGTGGTTGGGAACTGAAGACATTCAGGGAAGCCTTCCTAGAGAAGGTAAAGTTTGAACTGAGTCTTGAAGGAAAAAGGAGGAATTAGTTATGCTGGGGAAGGGGTGGGGAGCCACATATCTTCTATTACTGCTAGACAGAACAGACTTTAAAAAGACCACGAGATGAATCTTTAAGGAATCATAGGAAGTTGATGTAGTCAGGCTGGAGTGCTGGGCACATGTAGTGGAGTGGCAGAAGATAAGGCAGATTCCTTGAGTTTGGAATCTGTTCTCTAAAGAACGGCCTTCAGCTATCTTTGATTATAACTTCTTAGGTAAAGCCTTTGTAGGGCCAGCCTATGCCAACTTGTTCTTACTTGCCAACAGAAGAACTTCACAAAGGTAGAAAATTGGATCTGTTTATGGACCAATAAGTGAGTCCCTCAGCACACTAGTGAGTAAGACCATGCCTCAAGGATTATTGGTGTGGACCAAGAGACAACTACTAAAAGCTTCTAGGTAGAGAGAGAGACATGGTCAGATTGGCATTTTATTTATTTATTTATTTATTTTTAATTAAAGATTTCATTTATTTTTTTGACATAGACACAGAGAGAGAGGGGACACAAGCAGGGGGAGTGGGAGAGGGAGAAGCAGGCTCCCTGCTGAGCACAGAGCCCGATGCGGGACTCAATCACCCTGGGATCATGACCTGAGAGCTACTCCCTTACTCAACAGGGAGTCTACTGGAGATTTTCTCTCTCCCTCTCCCCCCCGCCCCCCGCCATGTGCTCTCTTTCTTTCTCTAAAATAAATAAATAAATCTTTTTAAAAAGAAATTATAAAATTACAATTAAAAAAAAAAGAAAGGGGTGCCTGGGTGGCTCAATAGGTTAAGCGGTCTGCCTTTTGCTCAGGTCATGATCCCAGGGTTCTGGGATTGAGCCCTGCATCAGGCTCCCTGCTCAGTGGGGAGCTGCTTCTCCTTCTCCCTCTGCCGCTCCCCCTGCTTCTGCTCTCTTTCTCTCTCTCTCTCTGTCAAATAAATAAAAATAAAAAAAGAAAGATCATTCTAGCAATAGAAATGGTTTGTGAAGAGCTGGGTAAGTGTCCGTGAAACTGGGAGCAAAGAAAAAGCAGTTTAAAGGGTTTTACAGAAGTCCAGCCAAGAGATATAGATATAGATAGATATAGATAGTGGTTTTAAGTAGGACAATGATAGTACAATTTGAAGGGGAGAGAATTAGGTTCAAGAGAGATTTAATAGGTAAAATTGATAGGATTTATCCAGTTGAATGTGAGGGAATGAGAGAAAGACAGAAATTCATAGTTGTTTTGAGACATATGCTGATGAAATATGGGGAATTTCCTAGCACATATATGCACTCACTCAGGCTGTGGGTATGTGCTGTGTTCATTTCTTTTTTGAAAATCAAACATTTTTATTCATGTTATAATAAAAATTAATTTATTTTGGTCTATATCCATATGTGTTCTTATGTGTGTGTGCAGTAAAAAACATGTAACATGAAATTTATCTCCTTAACAAATTAAGTATATGGTACAGTATTATTTACTATATGTACATTTTTGTACAGATCTCTACAACCTTTTCATCTTATGACTGAAACTCTATACCCATTGAGCAACAACTCCTTATTTCCCCTTCTCCCAGTCCCTGGCAACCACCATTCTACTTTCCCTTTCTAAGAGTTTGATTACTTTTGATACCTCATTTAAGTGGAATCATGCAGTATTTGTTCTTCTGTGACTTCCTTATTTCACTTAGCGTAATATCCTCAAGGCTCATCCACATTGTAGCATATGCCAGGATTTCTAAGGCTGAATAATATTCTATTGTATGTATATACCATATTTTGTTTATCCATTCACCCGTCAATGGATATTTAAGTTGTTTCCATCTCTTAGCCATTGTGAATAATGCTGCAGTGAATGTAGGAGGGCAGATATCACTTTGAGATCCTGGTTTCAGTTCTTTTGGTTAAATACTCAGAAGTGGGATTACTGGGTCATTTGTTGTTTTATTTTTAATTTTTTGAGAAACCTCCATACTGTTTTCCATAGTGGCCACACCACTTTACATCCCCACCCAGCATTGCATAAGGGTTCCAATTTTCTGCATCTTCTGTGGTACTTCTTATTTTCTGTTTTTTCTGACAGTGGCATTCTGGATAGTTGTGGGGTGATACCTCATTATAGTTTTGATTTGTGTTTTTCTGATGATTAGTGACGTTGAGCATCTTTTCATATACATGTTGGCTGTGCTGTTTACATGTCTTTGGAGAAGTTTTTTTTTGGTATGTCTATTCAAATCTTTTGCCCATTTTTATTTATTTTTTTTTTTAAGATTTTTTTATTTGTCAGAGAGAGAGAGGGTTGAGAGAGAGAGAGAGAGCACAAGCAGGGGGAACGACAGGCAGAGGGAGAAGCAGGCTCCCCGCTGAGCAAGGAGCCTAATGCGGGACTCAATCACCCTGGGATCATGACCTGAGAGCTAAAGACAAACGTTTAACCTACTGAGCCACCCAGGCATCCTATTTTTAAATCAGGTTATTTGGGGTTTTTGCAGTTGAGTTGTAGGAATTTCCTATATCTCTTGGGTATTAACCTTTATCAGATAAATGGTTTGCAAATATTTTCTTTCATTCTCTAGGTTCCTATTGACTTTGTTGATTGTTTACTTTGCAGAAGCTTTTTATTTTTTTAAAGATTTTATCCATCTACTTGACAGAGAGAGACACAGCGAGAGAGGGAACACAAGCAGGGGGAGTGAGAGAGGGAGAAGCAGGCTTCCCGTGGAGCAGGGAACCCCATGCGGGGCTCGATCCCAGGACCCCGGGATCATGACCTGAGCCGAAGGCAGATGCTCAACAACTGAGCCACCCAGGCGCCCCATTGCAGAAGCTTTTTAGTTTGATGTAATTCCATTTGTCTGTTTTTGCTTTTATTGCCTGTACTTTGGATATCATACTCAAGAAATCATTGCCAAGGCCAGTGTCAAGAAGCTTTTTCTCTGTGTTTTCGTTTAGGACTTTTATAGTTTCAGGTCTTACATTTAAGTCTTTAATCCATTTTGAGTTGATTTTTGTATGAAGTATAAGAACAGAATCTAATTTTATTCTTGTGCATATGAATATCTAGCTTTCCCAGTACACTTGTTGAAGAGACTATTATTTTTTTTTTTTTAAAGATTTTACTTATTTATTTGACAGAGAGGGTGAGAGAGCACAAGCAAGGGCAGCAACAGAAGGAGAGGGAGAAGCAGGCTCCCCACTGAGCAGGGAGCCCGATGCGGGACTCGATCCCAGGACCCCGGGATCATGACCTGAGCTGAAGGCAGATGCTTAACCATCTGAGTCACCCAGGCGCCTGAAGAGACTATTCTTATGTTGTCTTGGCAGATTTGTCAAGATCTGTTGACTATATATGTGTGGGTTTATTTTGGAGCTCTCTATTCTGTTCCGTTGGTCTATAGGCCTGTCCTTATGCCAGTACCATACTGCTTTGATTACTGTAACTTTTAATATGTTTTGAAACCAGGAAGTGTAAGGCCTCTAGCTTTGTTGTTCTTTGTCAGGATTGTTTTGGCGATTTGGGGTTCTTTGGGTTTCCATATGAGTTTTGTGATTGTTTTTTTCTGTTTCTGCAAAAAATGCCATTGGAATGTTGATAGGGATTGCATTGAATCTGTAGATCAACTTGGATAGTATGGACATTTTAACAATAATTGTCTTTTAATCTGTGAACAGAGGATGTCTTTCCATTTATTTATATCTTTAATTTCTTTCAGCAGCGTACAAGTCTTTCATCCTTTTAGTTATGTTTATTCCTAAGTATCTTATTCTTTTTGATACTGTTGTAACTGAGATTGTTTCCTTAATTTCTTTTCCAGATTCATAGTATATAAAAATGCAACTGATTTTGTGTTGCTTTTGTATCCTGAAACTTTGCTGAATTCTTTTGTTAGTTCTAATAGTTTTTTGGTTTTCTATTCATAAGATCATGTCATCTGTGAACTGAAATAATTTTACTTCTTTCTGATTTAGATGCTTTTTATTTCTTTTACATGTCTAATTGCAATGGCTAGGACTTCCTACTGTGTTAAATAGAAATAGTGAGAGTGGACATTTTTGCCTTGATCCTGATCTTAGAGAAAAAGCTTTTAGTTTTTCATCGAGTATAATGTTAGCTGTAGGCTTTTCATGTATGGCCTTTATTTGTAGTCATTCTTTTTATATTTAGATGCAGTAGAAAGTTTATCTGTTGGAAAGAATTCTTAAGCATTTCCTGAATGAAAAACCTTCTTCAGCATTACTCAGTGTCTTTTGAGTACCCTTCTCCCACCATGGCAGGGATCTTCAGTCGCTTACGTCTCTAGACTTTATGTTCTCTCTAGAATGGAGGGAGCTGATGCTCAGAGAAACCTATTTCATCTGTCATTGTATTTGACTTTTTGATACTGAGCATATAATTTTCCTTTTGTCTCTTACTTTTTTAGGTAGTGTTAAGAAGAGAGAGCTGTGATCTCCCACGTTCTTAACTATGTTTAATTATAATTAAAAATTAGGGATAGAATTATGATTTATTGAGTACCTGTTGTGCACTTCATCACTTTATCTTAGATTAACCTCAAGTCTGTCTGATTCAGTTCTGTACCCTAAGAGGGAGCCCAAACTACTAAGTGGGTGGTATTATCTTCATTTTCTGTGTGAGGGAACTAAGGTTCAGAGAACTTGAGTGACTTGCCCAACAGTAAGCACCCAGTTAGGAAATGACAGATGAGATCTGAACCTAGATACAAGCCCTCCTAATATGTTCCATCCCCTTAATGCATCAGTGACTGCCCAGTGTCCTCTGGGACCCATATGGAGAGACAGATGCAGTCCAACTTTGGCTCCCAGCTGGAATAATCTGGCTTATCAGGACTGGTTCTTTTCACCTAGCTCAAGTACTTTCATGCCCTCCAAGCTCTGGTATTGCTCTCACTACCATCACTGAGGCTGCTTCTCAGGGTCTCAGTAGATGGATTGTAGTTTGATGGCGTCTTTTGTCTTTACATGTCTTATTAAATCTGAGATTTCAGTGTTCTAAAGATCCCTAAGAGAAAAGGTTTGTTTTGTTACATGTTACTGAATAAAGAAAGACTGCCCCTCTAAGTATACAAATAGAAGTTTGTTAAGACCAATCACTCAACTTCTGTACCAGTTAAATGTTTCTTGTTTTCCCTCCAAGTCCTATGTGCTGGCTGGCTTCCAATTCTAAATGCCTCCTGTATTTATGATCAGAGCAGCTCAAGGTTTCTTCACAGGCTGCTGGAACAAAGAGTCATGCAGGTTTGAGTCAGACAGACTTGAGAGAAAATGTCCTCCCAGGCTTTCTATAGGAACAAGAAATAAAAATTTATCTGGCCCTTACTCCTTCCTATTCACTCTCATTCTGTGCTGAGTTTAGCCAGTTAGGCTTCAACTCTGGGTTAAACACTTTATAGAAGATGTATTTATTCACTCCCTTTATGGGATGGTAGCTAGAGCCATGGACTGAATACTTGGGTACTTTGGCCTCTTCCTCAAACTCCTCCTGACCCATGGGCATACAGTGTGATCTTGGGCAAGTCAGTTCACTTGTCTGAGCTAAAATTTCTTCTTATTTCTTCTGTAGGCTTGGGAATATCTTTCTTACTAAGAAAATCCATGTGAAGTTTCATGGACAGTACTTAATAAGTGAACATTTGTTTATTTATCCAACATGCATTCTTTGAGTACTTTTTTCTGGATTCTATCATAGCCTTAGGTCTGATAGAGGGTATTTTTATGATATATTACCATAAGTGCTATAAAAATAACAATAATGATGGTGAAGATATTGTCAACTTTCCATAATTGTTGCTATGTGTTAAGGCCTTTTCTAACCATGTGATAATGTATTAACTAATTTAATCCTCACAACAATCCCATGAGATGGATACTATTATTTTCCCTACCACACAAATAATTTTTGTTCAGATTTTGAATTTAAGTTCAAATACTTAAATGACTTGCCTACGATTGTACAACTAGAAAGTAGCAGAGCCTGTATTGGAACAAAGGTGGTCTGACTCTAGAATTCATCCTTTTAATCACTGTGCTATTCTGCCTATCTCAGAATACACAGAATTAGAAGTGGATAGAAGAAGGACCTAAAATTTTGTCTAGGTAGTGATAGAAGGATTCACAAAGAAGGTGACATTTGAATTGGGTCTTAGAAGGCAAGTAGGAGTTTGTTCTTGAAGAGTGGTGTTTCAGGGGTAGGGAAGAATAGACTCAAAGAGAAAGAGTGTTGAAGAACGTGAAGAACGTGAAGGCTTTGTGGCTTGAGAGGAGGGTAAATGGACAAGAGGAAGGCCATAGTGAGCTATGGTGCTGGGAAACAAGCAACTGAGCTGTCCTAAGGTTAGTGAGAGACCCTGGAGTATGGAGGTGGAGGAGAGGGAATCTGGATGTCTCTCTAGAGAGTTCTGGGAATCTTTGTGAGGTTTAAATGAATTCTTGGTCCTAAAGAAGGAACAGAGGATATCCTGAGCACCCAATCTAACATGTGTCAATTCCTTGTCAAAGATATCAGAGGAAGAGATCGAAAGGATCATGTCTGGGCAGGAATTTGAGGAAGAGGCCAATCACTGGAGCAACCATGGTGACAGCGACCACAGTTCCCCTGGGAACAGGGCTTCAGAGAGCAACCAGCCCTCACCAGGCTCCACACTGTCCTCCAGGTGAGCTTCAAGGCAAACCCAGCATCGTCTAGGGACCACCCAAAGAGTAGACCCACAAGGAACGTCTGGGCTGGGTATTCCTGGCCAGTCTGTCTCAGCCATTGTACTCTTGTTCCCTCAGTCTTTGGGGTAGGGGCCAGGAGGACACAAAGCAGCATTTCACAGCCTACTTTTTATTAAAGACCTTGAAAATGTCAGCAGTCTCTTCTGCAGGCTAATAAAGTGATACAGCTGCTGTCTGTGCCCATACGTTCTTTACCTAACAGAATACCATTTTTAAATGTAGCTCTTTTCTCATATTTATCATGGAAATAAAACAAACCACATGGACTATATTGAATTAAGTTCTCATTTCTCTGTCTCAGCAAGAGTGAAGATTTTCACTTTATAAATTTTAAGAAACTGAAAAATTTTAAGCTAATTAAATTTGCTGCTATCATGGAATACCAACTTGGAGACTCTTGGTTCAAGAATGTTACCTTAAGTTAGTCATTAGGTGTAAAATGTAGCCATCAGCTACCAGGGTAGATTTCCTTTTTGCAGAAATCTTTCTTATAGGAAAGGGATTGATGAACTTTTTCTATAAAAGCCAGATAATAAATATTTTAGGCTTTGCAGGCCACACAGTCTGGGTCTCAAATACTCAGCCCTACCATTATAGTGCAAAAGCAGCCAGAGACTATGTAAATGAATGAATGTGGCTGTGTTCCATTAAAATTTCATTTACCAAATGGGCCATAGGCTATAGTTTGTCAACTCCTGTTACAGGAAACACATCTAGGTAAAGCCAGAGGATTTTTGTTTTAGGTGACAGAATGGTTAGATTTCTCCAGGAAAGGGAAGAAGATAAGAATCTGCCTTTCTCTTGGTATTTTATTATACCTTTTATTTGTTTGATTGTTCCTTTTTTGTTCCTTCCTTTAAATGTTTAGGGAGTTCTTGCCAGATTCCTTGCCAGATTCCATGTCAGATTCCTTGCTAGGTGCTGGATTTGTTTTATGGCCTGGCAAGGCCCTTAGCCTGTGTATGCCTTAGTTTTCCTAGCAGTAAAAAAATACATACCCCCACCTTTGTGGATCATAGTCTGTGAGTATCCATTAAAATCTCTTCAAATGTGACACCTATACAAAGAATTTATTCAACCACTCTTTATTTAGTACCTATTTTGCCAGGTCCTGGGTGTCCAATGATAAATCACACATACAGACACCTGCAGAGAGTCCCTGTCTAGTGGGGGAGACATGCATGTAACCATTAATTATGTCCCTGATGAGGACAGACTGCATGGCCAAAAAACACCTTAGCCATCTTGAGCAGGCAGTAGACCTGCCATGGTTCTGCTTGACATGAGACTTTTCTCTTCAGTAGGTCTGTGGAACTAAATGGATTCATGGCATTCAGGGAGCAGTACATGGGGATGTCTGTGCCTCCACACTATCAATACATACCGCACCTTTTTAGCTATTCCGCCCACTCGCCACTCCTGCCCCCACAAGCTCGCAGCCTGGATCCCCAGTCATACAGTCTGATTCACCAGCTGGTGTCAGCCGAGGACCTGGAGCCACTGGGCACACCCATGTTGATTGAAGATGGGTGAGTACCCCATTTAGCCCTTGCAACTTCAAAATGATCCCTGCCCCACACCCACCTTCATCCCTGGCTACTAATACCCTAGGCTTTGGAATGAGTCAAGGGGGGATATTGAGTAATGGCTCAAGCATCAGAGGACAAAGTCTGTATTTATCTTTGAAGTCAGCAGTCCCTTGTTTTTCTCTTGAGCATCTTTTTTCTGAGTTGGGGCTGTTTATCAGTCCTTATGGAATTGGGATTAAAGGACTTTTGTTTCTGCTTGGGCCTAGGTAAGCCAGGCCCTGAGGTGGTCTGAGTGCTTCTCTGGCTCTGAGCCAGAGATGAGCTGTAATTCTGGGAATAATTATACATCAAGTCCAGGCTCATTAACAAGGCATTCAAGGCACTAACTGGTTGTGGACTGTCTGCATCCCTAGCCAGTGTGCCCATTGGTAGCCTGGTGCCATGTGCGCTGTGTGCAGACCTGAGTGGGTGGAAGGAATACTCTTGTCAATCCTCTGTCAGCTCTACTAAGTAGATACTAGTTCAGCCTTTAGGCCCACCAGTTGCTGCACCCATTACTCCTTTGGCCTGAGGCATAGGCTGTTTGTTATCAAGCTTAGACCCCCTAGGATATATCCTGAGATTTCTTAAGCTAGTCTCCAATATCAGAAGAGGAAATTCAAAGATCTGCTTATAAGAAGGCCACACAAAATCTTTATAAATCTGGGTGTGGGGGTGTGGAGATGAGTCATGCCAAGGGGCCTTGAAAGAAAGAAAACTGGGACCCTGTCTCATCCAGCCCAGAGATGAGAAATGCCCTGTACCTTCCATTCAGCAGTAGCTTACAGGGGCTGAGCAACTTTAGTTTCTGAAGTCTCACCACCAGGGGGTGCAATGAGAGCAGGAAAATCTTCTGAACATGTTCTCTTCTCTTTCAGTCATATGGCCTCTGGCTCATTTCTGTGCCAGTCCCTGTATTGGGTGGGCACCAGATCCGCCCTACAGGAGCTCTCGTTGCCAAAACTAGTGCAGGAGTGATGGAATTTTCTCTGACACATGGAACACTAGTGGACACCAACATTAAAAGTCATATTCCCTAATAAATTGCACAAATTTCCAAGCCTCCTTTCCTTTCTACAACCTTTTCTCACCAAACCCACCTCTCCAGCCCTGAGCTTGCTGCTGGCCCCAGTCCTGCCCCTTTATCATTAGACTGAATTGAATGGAGCTGGAGACCCATGATCAAGGACAAGGAGCCCACTGCTAGAGACCCTTTTTACTCTTAGGAGTATCCTTTCCCTCTGCCCCCCCCCCCCCTCCCCCTCTGGCCACTGGAAGTGATTTTTCACTGTCCCTACCCCCAGGTATGCTGTGACTCAGGCAGAGCTGTTTGCCCTGCTTTGCCGCCTGGCTGATGAGCTGCTCTTTAGGCAGATTGCCTGGATCAAGAAACTGCCTTTCTTCTGCGAGCTCTCAATCAAGGATTACACGTGCCTCCTGAGCTCTACCTGGCAGGAATTAATCCTGCTGTCCTCCCTCACCGTTTATAGCAAACAGATCTTTGGGGAGCTGGCTGATGTCACTGCCAAGTACTCACCCTCTGATGAAGAACTACACAGGTAAGGGTTGTTGGCTGGGGAGGAAGTCCCAAGCAACCAAATCACCGTCATCCCTGCAAAGTGGGGATGGAGTGCCCCCACTGACCCTTTAGAGGATAGGAATTAAAGCCACACACAGGGCTGGTTTTGAATCCGTAACTCTGCCACTGACTAGCTTTGTAACCATAGTTAAGTCTCTGATTCCTACATTCTGAATTTATAAAATGGGATAGATAATACCTGTACCTCCCCAACAAGGTAGTTGTGAAAAATAAATGATACTGTGCAGCGAGCCTTAGCAGAGTGCTACACTATTATTTTTTTTTTATCACATTTGGATTACTGAGATAAGAGAATGTATCTGGGCAAAACAAAAACCTAAACTCTAAACTTCATCTATAAAGTGAGAGGCTCTGAGTTACAGTTTACAATTCAAGAACAAGATCTAGAAGTCACTGTGGTACCTACTATATGCCAGGCACTGGGCTTGGTATTTTATATTACTGTCTTATTCTTTTCTCATAGCCTCTAGCATTATAGATATTGTTACGCCTATTTTATGGATAAGAAAACTGAAGTTCAAAGAGATCTGCCCTTTAATGTTTTGGGTTTGAACACAGAGCCTCGATTTGAACCTATGGCTGCCCAATGTCAAAGCTTAGGCTCTTTGACTGCATCTGAGATGCACTGAGAGGTGGTAAGAGCATGGGGCTAAGAGACCGAGCCGCTCTCTTCAGTGTTTTCTGGTGTAACTTCTCATCCTACTTGGCCAGGATCCTAATCTCCCTGTCTAGCACAGATCTTTCTCTCACTCACTTTGTGTTTTTTTGTTAAGATTTTATTTATTTATTTGACAGAGAGAGATACAGTGAGAGAGGGAACACAAGCAGGGGGAGTGGGAGAGGGAGAAACAGGCTTCCTGCTGAGCAGGGAGCCCGATGAAGGGCTCGATCCCAGGACCCAGGGATCATGACCTGAGCCGAAGGCAGACGCTTAACCGACTGAGCCAGCCAGGCGCCCCTCACTCACTTTGAAGACCTAGAGCACATGGTGACAACCCCAAAATCAGGACAAGTGATCTGTTGATAGAACTTTCCTGGCTTATTAATTTATCATGTGAAAAATAAAGCTTAAATCACATTTAAATAATTTCATTAAATAATTTCAGTAATTCACCTTTATTGAACAGTTTTTAAAAATGGAAGTCCTGGGATTCCAGAACACCAAGAAAGAGGGGAGAAGAGGTACCCCATCAATGAAAACTGGAGGAGATGGGGTATTAGCCCCCACAATTCTCTACACAGGACCAAAGTGCCTCTCCTCTGTCACCCAATTGCCATGGAATAAAGACAGGCTAAGTGTTAGGCTGAGGCTGAAAGTAAAGCTCCAAGACCCTCAGGGGCCCTTTGCACAGCTGACAGAGGGAAGAGTCTGGATGCTGACACTCTCCCCTGGTTTTCTAATATTTCCTTTTCAGTGATGCTTACTGGCTTCAGAGTGAACCCAGCTGACACTTTGTCCTGTAAACAGAGCTATCTGATTTTGCAGATGACCGAACCCCCTGTTTGAGCCTCTAATTCATTGTTTCCATCAAATTCCTATCTCCAGCTCCTTCATTCTGGGCCAACTGAGTGTTTGAATCGCAGTCTGCAGGTTTTAATATTGTCAGGGTTTGCAGAGCTGGCCCAATGAGTCTGGCTTCTTTATTCGCCTGGAATCCACCAATGCAGCCTGGGGCTGTCTACAAAGTCGGCCTATGGGCTCTAGTCCCTATAGAATGATGGCTTTTCCCAGGCCCTCTGCAGGTAGGCAGGGATCATTGGCCATGCAGGGTTCTTTGTGGCTTTGAGCTTCATAAAGCACCCCATCCCACTGTATCCAGTCCCTTGAGCCCCAAGAGCAAGGCAGAGGCTAGTAAATTAGTGAGGGAATGTTTATTTCTAGGAAGTCTCCTTACCTAGGAGAATGTAGAGCTGCACTGTCCAATATACTAACTGCTAGCCTCAGGTGACTTTTTAAATTTAAGTTAATTAAAATTAAATAAAATTAAAAATTCAGTCCTCATTTGCACTAGCCACATTCCACATGCTCACTAGCCACATGTGCTTAGTGGGTACTGTATTGGACAGTGCAGATATAGGACATCTCCATCATCTCAGAAAGTTCTGTTGAACAATGCTGATTCTAGAACATGTATTAGTTCTGAGGATAAGAAATAGATGTATTGTCAGGACTTACTGCTCCATGCAAGAAGCATATGGAATCCTTCCATGGGAAAAACGAGTTAAACTTCAACACGTTAGTTCTGATTCCATGCCCATGTACCTAGGACCCTGTTGTGTGTGTCAGAGGGGAGGGGAGTTGGGATTGAGATGGTGCAGACATGGTTTCTGACTCTGAGGTGAGAGCCCCTATTCTTGGCTTAGGGGATTGGGAGACAAATAGAAACAGATAACAATCTATAAATCAGGTGGATACTGATGGAGATCGAGGGGTATATGAGGGACTGTGTAAGCACAGCCAAGGGAGTAAGTACCTCTACTTGCATAATCAAGTAATGCTTGCCAGAGGATAAGACATTTGAGCTGCAACAATGAATCATGGAACATTACATCAAAAACTAATGATGTAATGTATGGTGATTAACATAACAATAAAAAATTTTAAAAAAGACATTTGAGCTGCATCTTGAAGTGGGTTTTTCTAGGTAGATTATAGAGAATAGGAGGAAGGCAGGAGATAAAGTCCTAGAAGTTAGAGATCCTGGGTGGTTGGTTTGTGCAGGGAACCAAAAGCATGGATTAGGGTATAGAGAGAATTTATCTGAGAGACAGAAATGAGGGGAGAAATGACTGGAGAAAAAGATAAAAAAAAGGCAGATCATAAGGTGTTCAAATGCCAGTCTAGGGGCACCTGGGTGGCTCAGTCGGTTAAGCGCCCGACTCTTGATTTCAGCTCTGGTCATGGTCTCAGGGTCCTGGGATTGAGCCCCACATTGGGCTCCCCACTCAGCAGGGAATCTGCTTGTCTCCCTCTCCCCCTGCTCGCACGCACACGCACACTCTCTCTCTCTAAAGGAAATAAATAAATCTTAAAAAAAAAGATTCATTAAATGCCTATCAAAAGAATTTGGGTTATATTATGTAAATACTATTAAATCATGAGATGTTTTTATGTGGAGCAATTACATGGTCGGGTGTCATTTTAGAAAGATCCCTGTGGCTGTAAAGCTCAAGATGGATTGGCATGGACGACACTAGAGGATGGTGGCTGGGTAGGAGGTTTTTCCATAACCCAGGTAAAAGAAAACAAGGCCTGGACAAGAGAGCAGTGTCTCTGGGAATAGAGAGGGCTGCACAGAGTTACGAGATAACAAGGAGGTATAGTCAGTGGGACTTCAGTGAGGCAGAAGTTGGGGATGCTGCCAGGCAGGTGAGTGCCAATTCTCTTAGCCAAGATAATGGAGCCTGAGAAGAACAGGCTAAGCGATGAGTCACTCTGAGTTTGGTTTGGAGTCTGTTGAGCCTGATCAGGCATGAGCCTGAGAGCTCAAGAGGTCAGAGGAAAAGGAAGTATGAGAACCTCTGGAATCAGGTACATCAGAGTAAAGCATTCCTTACCCTGCTAAAAACTGGGGTGTGGAGTCCGTAATTGGCCATAGCTCTTTTCTACCTTGCCTGCTCCTGCATTACTCCTACTCCCCCAAAATGCCTTTACTATTTCACGACTCTTGAGTGCAAGTGAGTTCCTGCTGTCATGAAAAGGCTTTTCCCTGATGATACATGACCACCTCCTTTTCTCTTCTCAAATATTGAATCAAATTTATGGTACCCATTTTCCTTAATCAGGCTGTTATCAGACAGTGAGCTGGGCGAATTTGATTTAAAGCAGATTGTAGCACCAGCCAGTGACTGCTCCTGGCCCTAATCAAGACTCCTTCACTCTCAAGAGAAGATGCCTTGCACTAGATGGGTTTTAATGGGCACTTCTATCTCATGAACACTAGCTCCATTTCTGCCAGATCTCTGGAAGGTTGCCTCCCAGCTTCTCTGCTCACACCCTAGCTGTAAGGTTCAAGAAACAATCTTTTCTTTTTGTTGTGATAACAGGAGCAATGATGATGATGCCATTAATAATGATAATAGCTAACAATTATGGACTGTTTATTGTGCCAAATTCCATCTCAAGTGCTTTACAAACATTTGGTTAGTCCTCACCACCACCCCAAGCAACTGCACTGTTATCCTTGTTCCACAGATGAGGAGCATGAGGTTCAGAGAGGTGAAAAAACTCAAGGCTACAAACCTAGAAAGAGATGAAGTTGAGATTATCACCTAGATCTGTTGTGCTCCAAAGCCCAGAATCCTTACTATTACCCTCTACTGAATTATTTAGCCTTCTAAAAAGTTCAACTTTTCTGGAATGTGTCCTAGAGTTGCAGTCTTACTTTCAATCTTGGAGTGTTTACATGGGTGCTGATATGATAATTCCTTTAAAGCTGATGACTGCTCCTGGGGGTAGGTGCACTTAGCTGAATGAAAAAGAGATGACTGGGCCTCCCAGCCCCCTTAATATAAGGACATAACTTACATAGTGTCAGCTTCAATTGCTGACTGAATGGTCCAGTGGTTTGGGGGATCCTGGCAGGAATGTTTTCTTTGTCCCAGCATGCTTGTGTAATGGGAACCTCGAAGAAGAATGGGTGTGTTTGTCCAACTCTCTGGTTTTAAATGCTGATAATTTGCAGACAGGGAATACAGGGGCGTTAGAACTGTGGAGTGGGCAGATGTGGAGGAGGCACGGCTGCAGGAGAAAGCAGGCCCATGGAACAGAGAACAATTTGTTTATCAAGGGGTGGGATGCGGGGTGTGGAGGAAAGCTTTGCAGTCGGGCTGTGGAGACTGAGTGGGGGCACTGGGCTGGCTGCCAGCCCCCCCCCCCACCACTGCCAGGGATCCATGATGGTTGCCCGTCCTAGGAAATGTGGGAAAGAAGGTACGTGCTGTCCCCAAGAGAAAGGGCAGGTTTGGGACATATGCTCACGCCAGGCACTTGGGAGCTCCTTTGTGTCCCTCACATCAAGACTCAGCCAGCAGTAAGTTCACCACTGCTGGCTGGGGGTCTGGCTGATAACCACACACCTGCAGGTTCTGCAGTGCCAGAGGGAGCACTTGGGGCAAGCGGTTGCTGATTAAGGGAGAGAACGTTATCTTTGTTTGCTACACTGCTCAGCCACAGACAGATGCTGGCATTGCTGCTCTGCCTGCGTCCTCCTTTTTGATGCTGTACCCCATTTCCTCCCCACACCACCCCTCCAGGCAGATACTAGAGGGAATTCTCAGTCAAGACCTTTTTCCTCTCAAGAACAGAAGTAGCCATCAGAGTCCTGTGATGAGTGCTCTTCACTCCCAGGCCCACTGCCTCCCACATGTCTCAGCATTGTGGAGGCACTGTAGCAAACCCTACACCCGACTGAGTTGGGCCCTGGGCTGAGTCGCTGTGGGAACACAGAGCTCCTGAGGTCCCCTGTGGTGGCATGAGGTAGCCTTTCCCAGTTACCAGTTAAGAACAAGATAGGGAGTAGACACTGTAGTGCTGAGAAAGCGAGAGGCTTGGAATTAGAAAAGCTGGGTTTAAACTTTGGCCCCACCCCACCGCCACTTATTTGCTATGCAACTTTGGGGTAGGCAAGATGCTCTTCTTTTGCTTCCTCATCCCTAATGTGCAGTGATCTTACTTATCTCACAGGTTGCCAGGAAGGTAAAATGTAAGAATGCAGTAGGGGCACAGTAAATAACCTCCCTGAGCTTTGTTTCCACATGTGAACGAAGAGGGCTATAATA